GCATGAGACGAACAGCGGCGATGGTTGCGATTTCCAAACAACCGTACCTAACTGTACATGGAACCTGCCTCGAGCCATTGCTGTTTCTACGACAATACTCTGACCGCGTCGTCGGCTGGCCATCCATGTAGCCGATTTGCAGCGTACAGTCCCCAGCCAGCGTCTGACGCGGAGTCTAATAGCGCCGAATAGGCGCCTCTAAAAGCAAACGCCCTGTTCACGAACACCAGCAAGTACGGAGCGAGCGGCACTGCAACTGGGCACCAAACGTGCCAGCGCCTACTTAAGCTGCACTACCGAACACCCTTGCTGGAGAATGTCGGACAAAAGTTACGTTCAATCAGATAATCGATCGCATTTGGGGAGCTCCGCTTAGTGCATCCAGGCGCTGCCCACAACATTGCCAAAGCAGTGCTTGCACTTTTAAGGGGGCCTTACTTCTCCAACTAAACTAATTGGGTCCAGCGGGGACATTCCACGTTGCCTCCCGTGGCAGCCTCGTGGCCGCCCCGTGCGTTCATGCGTCTGGCAAGGTTTCGCCACGTCGCCGCCAGTGGCCGCATCGTGGCCGCATAGCGCGGTGGGCAACTAGGTCCAGCGAAGTGTCGCCACAATGCCACCCGTGGCCGCCTCGTGGCCGCCTCGTGCGCTGGGTGGGTCCGGCGAAGTTTCACCACGTTGCCCCTCGTGGCCGCCTCGTGACCGCCTCGTGCGCTGGGTGGGTCTGGCGAGATTTTGCCACGTTCCGCCCGTGGCCGCCGCGTGGCCGCCTCCTGACCGCCTCGTGCGCTGGGTGGGTCTAGCGAGGTTTTTCCACGTTGCCGCCTGTGGCCGCTTCGTGGCCGCCTCGTTGCCGTCCACCTGGGGAGTCTGGCAAAGTTTCGCCGCGTCGCCGCCCGTGGTCGCTTCGTGGCCGCCTCGTTGCCGCCCGCTTGGTGGGTCCGGCGAGGTTTTGCTGCGTCGCCGCCCGCGGCCGCCTCACGGCCGCCTCGTTGCCGCCCAGTTCGGGGGTCCGCCGCGGTTTCGCTGGCAGCCCAGAGCGTACACTTTGTGCTCCGCCGGCAAGTGCGAGACGACGTGCCGCCACTGGTGTCGCGCGCGCCGCCAGGCGACCGCGCGGGTGACGTGGTTGAGTAAGCCCTTGCCGCGAAGGTTGAGGGCCCCTTCACAGGCCGCGACGTTTTCGCCAGCTATGGTGAAGACCTCAGCGCAGAATGAACCGCCCCACTCGAATAGCAGCAGCAACACCGTGAAGAACGACTGGTGCTTGGGATCGCCCGCGCAGACACCGTCGGCCTGCGGCGGGCGATCGTCCTAGGCGCGAACGACGCGATGGACGGGGAGCAGGTCGAGGCCCGCGGGGTCCACGAGCGCCCGCGTCCACCTCGCAGCGCCGCCGAACCTGCGGCAGGCGACGCGGCCTGGCGGCGCCTCGCGACCCGTCGCGCTGCGGCCCCGCCGAAGGCGCCCCACAGGGCGGCCGCAAACGGCGCCGCGTCTGGCACCGCGCATGCCACCCGCGCGCACTTCTCGACGACGCGGCGGACCGCCGCCAGCGATGCGCGGCCGGCGCCAGCGGCGAAGGGCCCGAGGAGCTCGACGAGGTCCGCCAGGAACCGCGAGGGCAGGAAGACGCGCACCTCGCCTGGCGCGCCCATGACGAACCTGGCCTCGATCCACTGGCTCGCGCGCGTATTGCGCGACTCTTCTTCAATGCCAGCGGCGCGCCGAGAAGGAGCCGCCGCGCGAGCGCGAGGTCAATCGCCAGCTGCGCCGCTGCCGGCTCGCCCGTCATAGCACGGACTGGATCGCCCGCGTAGAGCTGCACGCGGCCAGGCGCCGCGGCAGCGTGGCCCGCCTCGGACCGCCCGGACGCCCGCCGCAGGGCCTGCGCGGCGCGGGCGGCGAAGGACGCAACGCGCCCGAAGACGACGGGATTGGGCTTGCCACCAAAAAATCAGCACACGCAAGACTACGAATTCACCCTCGCGTGCGATCTGCGGGTAGATCGGTCGCCTGCCCCTCCTGACCCCGTGGCCGACGCGGGCGCACTTGGAGGGCTGCTCGTCCGGGCGCAACGGGGCCGACATGAAGGCGTCAACCAAGTCAAGCACGAGCGCCCAGCCAGCCTCGCCCCCCCCCGCGCCCAGGCGGAGAGCAGCACAACGTCCATGGCGTGGCCGACAATCTTGGGCAGGACCTGGCGCTCGGCGAGGGCCGCCACCGAGTTTGCGAGGTCGACCTCGAGGTCATGGAAGGCGCGGCGCTTGGCCGCGCCGCTGGGCTTATTCTCGCAGGAGACGTTACCGACGGGCGCGCGGAACACGGGGTCGGAGTAGAAAGATTCTGCCGTCGCGCGTCCTCGAAGGACCCCTAAGCCCACGTCGACCAAGCCTTGCACATGCTCGACGCCCGGTGGTCGCACCTGCCCGCGCCGCTCGTAGAACGACGGGCGGTTCTCGAGGTCCACCGCGCGTTCGAGGAGCTCCGAAAGGTCAAGCGACGCCTCGGAGACGGCCGCGGGGAAAAGCCTGGCGGGCCGGACCTCCCGTCTGATCCCCGCAGGTGCGCCCTCCAACAACCTATCCGACACGGCCTCGTCGGGGCCCCCGAACTGCCGCTGCGCGGCGCGGACGAGCTCCGGGCGCCACGGGGAGGCGGCGTGGCGCTGCTCCACCGCCGCGGCGCTGGTATCTGATGCCCAGGAGCCTAGCGAGCGCGTGGCGCCGCGAGCGCAGGCACTCTCCCAGCGGCGGCGGGAGCGCCGCCCTGTCCCCACACGCCGCCGCGAGCCCCTGGAGCAGGGGCCCCCGCCCTCAGCGCGTGGCGATCAGGTCCACGATCGGGGCCATCGCGGGCCAGAGGCTGGGCCACTCGCGCCACCGATCCCATGGATTTCGCAAGCCCACGCTCGACGTCGGCGGCGGACGCCTGGGCCACGCCGCGGCCCAAATCGGCCCTCGCAAGCAGAGCCATTGCCGGCTCTCTCGCGGGGCGCATGCGCGCCCGCGCTGTGCGCGAGGGCCCCCAAGCGCACTGGAGGCCGCCGCAGACGCGGCAGACGTGCTGGCGGCCACGCGTGCACGGGGTCTTGCAGCCGTTGTTTTTTTGTTTCTCCAGATTTTGCAAAATTCGGAGGCCTTGTCACGCGCGGGGCCAGCGCATCCATTGACGTTCGAGCTGGGCGTCGCCCCAATGCCCTCCTGCGGCCGCGGCGGCGGGGGCTGCGCCTCCAACTGGCCGCCCGATGCGCCGCTGCCCTGCGGGCCCCTCCGGCGGCCCGCCGGGCCTCTGGAGAGGGCGCGGCTGAGGGGCCCAGCGCACTACCCGACGGCACGCCATCCAGCTGGTCGAAGAGGGAGCTCGGCTGGTTCCCCACTCTACTTTTCGTGTAATGCGCACCAACATGCACCCACCACCCATGGCCCGTCTGGGTGCTCGGTTCGGGCCGCCTCAGGCTGAGGAGCCAATGACGCGTGTCCACGCCTGCTCGTCCTCAGGGTTGGTCGTGAGGTACTCCTCCAGGATTGCGTCCCACTTCTCGGACCTGACCGCGTCGTCGGCCCTGAAAGCAAGAGGACGGGTACATGACGGATAGCTGGCGGATGCCCTCCTCGTACGCGTCCAACGCCGAGAGCGGCGCGGCCCCAAGGGTGATCGCGCACGGTCGGAAGACCTGCCAGGCCGACCGCCAAGCCTCGAAGTTTGGGCCCATGAACATCCTCGTCGCGAAGGTCTGCGCCTCGAACTTCCGGGCTTTGGCCTGTCTGCTGCCGCAAGGCCCGAGGACCCCAGAGTCGACGTATGCCATGGCCTTGGCCCCCACATGGGCAACCAACCCTGAGATAGGCTCAGCAGCCGTGCTGCGGCGGCGCCCCCCCACCCCTGTGACCTGGAGGTTACCTGGGGCGCGCCGCAGCAACGTCGTCCTTCGAGAAGATGGGAAGGTGCCCTCCCCGCCCTGGACGAGGACGTCCTAGGACCGCCTCTTGTTGCCCTCTGCAGGCGCGGCCGACTGCGACTCCTACAGGGCACTGGGAGGCTGCGCCTGAGCCGCCTGGGGCACTGGCGCCCCCAGGCTCGGCGGTGGCAACTATGCCACGCCAAAGACCGCCCAAACGGGGTCCAGACCGCCCGAACAGCACGGCCGTGGACGATGGGGGTCACGGGCAAGCTCTGTACTTCGAGGCTGTTGAACACCTCCGTGGGGATCGCCTCTAGGATCGCGACGAAGTCCAAGACCGTGGTGTCCGCGTCGCCGCTGACGCCCGCCACCAAACCCTCGGCCATGCCGCCACCGAAGCCGAGTGACTCGAGAAAGATCTGGAAGGCAAGCCCCGTAGCGGCCGGCTGCGCCACCAGCGGAGCCGCCGCGGCCTTCGGAGACGGCCTGCTGGGTTTGCCCCCCGCGGCGGCCGCCGCGGCCGCGGGCGCCGCAGCGAAGCCGCCGAAGCCGAGCTGCATCTCCAGCCAGAAGAAAGGAAGCCCTGGATGAACCGGGAGGGACACAACGAGAGCCACGCGTCCACGTCACGGGCTAGAGCCAAAGTGGCCGCGGACGGTGCGGCGACTGTCTGTGCCCGCCGCAAGGTGGCAAAGTGTCCCTTGCATTAAACTCAATGCCCATCACATAGCTTGCACCACACAATGTACACCACATGTGTTGCACCACATAGCTTCCACCGCATTGCTTACACATCCACCGTGTAATGACTTACGGTTTGGGGATTACACTGGCAAGCACAAAAGTATTTCGTACATCACGTGCATAAGATAATATCTAACCATGATGCCATGTTGATGCTAAGCCGCGGCGCCTCCCCCACAGAGCCTGGGTTGGGTGTATGTCCAAATTCCACGCGCCTCGGCCAAATCAGTTCCCCCCCCCCCACCGTCATCCAGCGGTGCCCACAGCCGCCCACCCTGCTGCGCTTCGGACTCATCTGAGGCAGTCTCTACGACTGGTTCTGAGAGGGCAGTAGAACCACTCTCATGATAATCACCCCCGGAAGCGAAGCCCTTTACCAAATGCGCCTTATGAAGGAATCGAGCAGGGCAGGGCTGTCAAGTAAACGCCCAGCACTGCTTAGTAAACGCTGATTGTAGGGCCTGATTTTTTCGCCCTCGATGAAGGAACGCACGATGTGGCATTCCTTTGCCGAGCATTGGGTTCTTTACTACTCTGCGCAGGCTACCCCCGCTACTCTGCAAGTGGCGCAGCGGCCGCAGCTCGCGGGGCTCCTCGAGTTACTTTGGGGGGCCGGTCGCGCGGCTTCCCCAGAGGCCTGGGCAGCGTGGCTGGCAGCCCACACTTCCAACATGGCCGGTGCAGGACTGTCTCAGGGCGCGTCCTGGAGCCTTACGGGCGCACCGTGGGCCTTCTTGGCAGCCCTGGAGGCTGGCCGAAGAGGTGAAATGCATGTTCAACCATATATTTTGCAGGACGCCTGCATACTCGGCTTCTCTGTCTGCAGGTCGCCCGAAACGGCCCAGGAGGCCCCAAGATCGCCCCAAGGCGGCTCTGGAGGCCAAGAGGCCCCCAAGAAGACACCCAGATGACCCCAGAAGGGGCCCAAGAGGGAGACATCGGTTTAACGGTTCGGGCAATTTCCCCCAAGATGGCCCCCGAGACAGCCAAGAGCCCCCCAAGAGCCGCAAGAAACCCCCCACGAGGCCCCAATATATCGATCTCCGAAGGGCACCTGAGAGGCCATAGGAGGCCTCCAAGAAGCTCCCGAGAGGCGTCTCCTGTTCACGACCAAGACGCGGTAGCGGGGTGGGCCGAATGTCACTCGATTCTATGATTTCCACTGTCTTTCACTCAGATAACGGAAAGAGCGAGGTACGAGTGATGACGTTCTGGTGTGGGCGAAGCCCTAAAGGGAGGGGTTCCAGGGGAGGGCCTAATGGCCTTTTCGGGCTTTCCCTTGGGTTTTTGCATGTTTTTCGGGTTCCCCCCCAAGACGGCCCAAGAGCGCTCCAAGAGAGCCCAAGACCGCCCAAGACGGCCCAAGAGGCCCCCAAGAGGCCCCCAAGAGGCGCCCAAGGGGCGTCCCAAGAGGGTCCCAAGAGGCCGAAATCATCGATTTTCCAAAAGAAAACGTCTATTCTTAGCATATGCGCTTTGTCGGCTTTCACGGCGTTGACGACGGCCCAAGAGGCCCCCAAGACCGCCCCAAGACGGCCCAAGAGGCTCCCAAGAGGTCCCCAAAACGGCCCAAGAGGGCCCCGAGACGGCTCAAGAGGCGCTCAAGACGGCCCAAGAGGGCGCCAAGACGGCCCCAAGAGGGGGACCACGAACCGAAAAGTCTAGCCTTGCGCCCCAAGACGCTCCCAGGAGGCCCCCAGAGCCCCCCAAGAAGCCCCAAGAGGCCCCCATGAAGCGTCCCAAGAGGCGACCGGGAGGCGAAAATCATTTATTTCCAATTGGAAAATGTACATTTTTAGCATACAAGGCTATTCGGCTTTCAGCTTTCACGCTCCAAGAGGCCCCCAAGACCGCCCCAAGACGGCCCAAGAGGCTCCCAAGAGGCCCCCAAAACGGCCCAAGAGGGCGCCAAGACGGCCCAAGAGGCGCCCAGAGGGCCCCAAGACGGCCCCAAGAGGGGGACCACGAACCGAAAAGTCTAGCCTTTCGCCCCAAGAAGCTACCAGGAGGCCCCCACAGCCCCCCAAGAAGCCCCAAGAGGCCCCCAAGAGGCTCCCAAGAGGCCTCCAAAAGGGCCCGACAAGGGCCCCAATAGGACTCCCAAGAAGGCCCAGAGACGCCAAATAGAGAGCGATCGTTAACGCAAAGAGCTCTTCACACCAAGGCTCCCAAGAGCGAACGGTGACGTAAGCAAGCTGATAAGACCAAGGCTCCCAGCAGAGAGCGGTGACGTAACAAGTTCCTGACACCAAGGCCCAGCCAAGGCTCAGGAACGGGCGGCAACGCAACAATCTCTCAACACCAAGGCTCCCAAGAGCGAGGGGTGACGTAACAAGCTCTCAACGCCAAGGCTCCCAGTACGAACGGTGGTGTGAGTAATTTCGGTTTCTGTTTCTGAAGCGCTCTTTCCGTTTCTGTGCCGGGCCAGGTGCTACAGGTCTACAGGTCTTATCCCAGACGAGCTCAAGCCCAGCCTGGATGCAGCTGCGGCTTGTCATCAGCAACCAAACATAAGCGCTCAGGACGGCAATCATGAGTTTGAATCGGTGTTACCCTAGCGTGCATATCTCTTCGTCGGCACCGCTTGGCTGAAGGTCGAGCTTCAATGTGGCACTAGATACGGATCCCAACCTTGAGTCGCACTCGCACGCATAACGTACAGTCGCTGAATACTACTGAGTCAAACCTGGCGAGGCGCAGCGAAGATCATAATGTACTGGATTGGTCCATCTGCTCAGCTTTGCTCTAGACAAGTCTGCCGTTGCGTCATTCAGCTTGGCGTGGCGTGGCTTGAATTGGCAGGCTAGGCCCAGCTGAACCAGGCGCAGAGCAGTTTAGCTCGGCCTTAGTTTGTATGTGCGCTGCTGGTGGTAAACATTCGCCCAGCTAAGCGGTGCCTCTCATTTGTCCCTTGCCGACCCTTGCCTCGGCTTGATTTGGTTACTGCGTGCCAACATAGCATAGGCTAGTGTCCGCACGACTGTTGCGGCGTAGAGACGATTGAGATTGAGCTTGAGCTGGGGAGCTCGAGCCAGGGTCTTGGATTGAGCAGGGCCTCGGGCTTAAGCTTGAGATTGAGCCGACCGCGTCAGATCAGGAGGTCGATGATTGGTGCCAGTTTTAGGTTGCGTATGGTAAGGCTTCAGCTGGAACTCGAACTTAAGATTCAACTCGTGAATGCTTTCCTTGTCGAAGGTGCCTGGCTTGTTCCCAGCCGTGCACATCACACTACATTTAAAACTGCACCTGATACATAAATGTCGGCTCGGACTCTGGTCTAGCGCCAAAGTCACATCAGCACATCGTTGATGTGATGCCTCTCTATCGCGCTGTGGAATTAGAGTCTGATCCTGCATATGAGTCATAAGTTGATGTCGCTTTGGAGTCCGACACAGATTCGTCCATCTTACAACATCTCAAGCTCGCCCAGCCGACCCCCCGTCCCTGGCAGAGATTAGAAGCTAGGCTTTCTTGATCGTCACCAACGCACATTGTTTTAGCCCGCCGGGCCTGTTTTGGCCTGAACTGAGCTGCTGACGCACAGCCCAAACCCGGAGCTGCCCCCAAGTACACCTGGCTGGTGTTTCAAGCTCAAGACATGCGTAGCCTGGCCTCACCTCGTTCAGTCTACGAGGAGGGATTGGTGGAGTGGATTGGAAGGGGATCGGTGGAGAGGAGAAGAGTATTGCGTGGCACCCCTCCAGATCATGCCGCACATCCTGATTGCGACGAGTATTCTCAAAACCACTCCTCGCAGGCCTGATTGTGAGCGACTACACATGGCAAGCTAACGAGCATAACAAATTTGTGTTTGATTGTCGCACTTGAGGCCAGAAGACCAGACGCTCGCAACATAGATGAGCAATGTCTACACGAGAACTGAGCGAGCTCGAAACATAATAATGCCACACTCCACCGCTGAAGCCGAACACCAACAACCCCCATTGCGAAGAGAAACGAACGACAGCGTGGATGGGCAATGCATAATAATGAATGACTGATATTGTTTGCGTTGTACTTGGAATATGAGACTACAACCACTGGAGCAAGAACTGAGTCGCCTCGCATCGCTAAAAGCGCGCAGTAACTTCAAATGGGCCTTCAGTCATGGCATGCTGCATTTATAGGTGGCATGCCGCGCGGTCGGAATGTTGGGCAAGGATGCCAGCATCACAATCACTAGACCCGGCTCCTAATCCCTAATACTCCACATCATCATCCACACCGTCATCCTCCCACTCTCTCAGCTATCAGCTGGTGACATTAGATCCGTTCAGGAGCTGCCATCCATCATCCTACTGCTCCTCATCCTTCTCATCCCTGGGGATCATAAGGAGCAGGTTTCGAGGCGGGGATTTATACGTAACCTCCGCCCAGAGGGTCGATTTTCGCAGAACTCCACAGGCGATGGATACATGGATATGTCTTGCCCCGCTGGGGCCTAAATATATCCTTGTGCACCGCCTGCTGGGTCTCCAGGACGTCGGTTCCCAGGCGCCAGACATGGATAAATGCCCGCCTCGCACAGGTAGCCTTGGAGCGACCAGGCGCTACCTGGGAGCCCTGGGGCTGCTCTGGGGCGGCTGGCGAGGCCACCGGGGACTGCGGCGCCGACGCCCCGGGGCCCTCCTCCGCAGTCCCTGGCGACGCCTGGGGCGGGCTGGAACGCACGGACCACCGACAGCCGCTCCTGCGGCCACCCCAGGACCCCCTCGAGCCGTGGACAAAAACACGGCGGAAGGCTTCGGGCTATCTTCGGCCTCGGGGGGGCCCTCGCCGGGCCCCGGGACCGTCAAACAACGGCTCGGGGCGAGAAGCCGGTCCCGGAGAATGGGTCGAGACCTTTGGGATCGACGTTTTCGTTTCTTCGCACAGAAAATGGAAAGGGAAAAACAACAAACAAACAAACAAACAAACAAACAAACAAACAAACAAACAAACAACAAACAAAAACGATGTTGGGGGTACGGGACAGCAAGGGGCACAGACGGCCTCTGGAAGCTCCCGCGGGACCAGCTCCGCCCCGGGCAACCGAGGGCGGCGAAGCGGCCCATGCTGCAACCATCCGGCGCCGACAGCGCGAGGCAGGCTGCACGTTGCATGTTTTAGCCGTAGGCTGGCACGCCGGGTACAGCCGTGCAGCCGGCCTGGTCCATGCTGCTGCCAGCCTGAGGTCGGGCATGTCCCCTTACAGGGGGATTTTGGGCAAAAGCTACAAAATAGTCAAACAAATACTCGGAAGTCAAACAACTACTCAAACATAAAATACAAAACACACACAAAAAACAAAAAAAAAAAAAAAAAAAAAAAAAAACGTCCCAATACTATGTTTCGACTATGTTTGAAGATTCTTCCTGTAGAGGCCAGCCTGCGCTTGCAGCGCGAGGCAGGCTGCATGTTCGCCCCAGGCTGGCACCCGCCGGGTGCCATCAGCTCGGCCGGCAGAGCGGCACCCGCCCGGCCCTCGGCGCCACCGAGCACCCACGCCTGCGGCCGTGACTGCTGGCATCTCCTCGTGGGCCTGGGAAGGCCCGACCACGGCGCAGCGGCCTGGGAGAGCGCAGCCGGCCGCGGACGCCAGCTGCGACACATCCAGCGCAGCTGCAATCGGCGACGCACGGGAGCGACCCTGGGCAAGGATGAGGTGCGCGGCGTGACGGGGGACGCGGGGTGGTCAAAGCTGGGCGAGCAAGCCGCTGCTACCGCTTCGCATTTAGCGATCGGGGGATTCACTTGGGCCCGCACCAACAGTCACTCTGGCGAAACGTCACTCTTACGTCTGGTCGACCAGCGCAACTACACTGACAAGAGCACCGCCTGGCCAGGCAAGATGGCGACGAGGGCCGAGACGCCAGCGAGCGCACCCGAACGGGAAGCCACTATACATGGGCCTCGTTGCCCCGCCCCCGCTGGCTGACCCTCGACGCGATGCGCAGCCGCGCCATGGCGCGCGGATATGGCCGGCCCCCGCAGCCAGCTCCAGGCAGGCTGCCCCTGCTGTGGGCACGCACGGCCAGGCAGACACCCGCACGCTTCTGCACAGCCTGAACCGTTGCGTCAGAGATGGGGTCCTGAGGGATGGGGGCCTGAGGATAGAAAGGGATCCAAGGGTGGATGTACGTTGTTTGAGGCACCTCGTCCTTAGGACCCTATCCCTCAGGACTCGAGCTTTGAACCATCGACTGAAGCCCATCAGGGACAGCGGAAGGGCGGCACTGAGGAGATCTGCGCCCCGTAGGCCGGCCCCGGCACGCAGTCCAGAGCCGAGGCGCCCAGCTGAGCGTCTCCTCCTCCTCCTCCTTCTCCTCCTCCCCCTCCATTCCTTCTACCCCGAGACGTGTCCGTAGGGACCTCCGGAGCCCACGCATCGAAAAAATCAGAGCGACCGGATGTCCAGGTTGTCGCCCCCCTTGACGGCGTGCGCGTCCGCCATGTCGCTCTTAGTCGTGCCCCTGCGGAACACTCGGCCAGCCGGTCATCATCGTGCGGCCCCTCGTCACACGGAGCCTATACCACGGCGGGCTGTCCGCTTCATCATTGAGCGCTTCACCACTTGCCGCTTCATCAATTGGCGGCCAGCATTCTATGTGCATCCACCTGTGTATCACACCAGCGTTTCATGACGCTCAGCGCCATGACGATGTCTCTGCAAAGACACACGCAGAGCATGCCAGCGCTTCCACTGCGACCCACAAGTCGCCAGCGTCCGTTGATTTCCTTGCCATGAGCAGAAGCCGACTGGGTCGCGCACACGTGCGCCAAGAGCGGAAATCCTCCTCTTCCTCCTCCCCCCTCTCTGTCCCCCTCCCTGTCCTTCTCCACCTCCTCCTCCTTATCCTGCGCCTACTCCCGGCTGTGCTCTAGCGGAATTGGGAAGAAAGACGAGGGGCATCTCGAGATGCCTCTATCTACAATGCGCTCTGGAAAATATAGCCAAACGAATCATTCGAAAGCGCGTCCATGCAGTTGTCTGCTGGTGCCCCCGACAAGATGGCCTCCAGCCTGTGCAGAGGCAGAGCGACACGGCATCACAGGGGAGTCGATGGATGGAGTCCTGTGTCTTGATTAAGACAACTGGAGCTGGATTGGCACATGCGTCGTGAACTCTCTCAAAAAAGGTGCGGTTCTGACAGTCTGACTTTTGGCTGGAACGCGTCGAAATTCAACTGGACATGCTGACCTGAGAAGATACGGCCTCAAGGTATGGATGCCGACCTCCACGTGTAAAGAGAAAAAGCCGAAAGTCCCTCCCCTCTCAAACCAAAGCCCGTGCAAAACTCGATAAGCAACTACGAACGACCAGGTTCGAGACCTCCGTCTCCGAATCGCCCGTCGAAGACAATCACGGTGCCGAAATGCCAGGAACTCGTGACCCTGTCTTGAAGCTTAGTCACCTTTTCAATCAACCCAATGCAGCTGCGTGCAGTGCAGCGCCGAGCCGCCCGCGTGAGCCCCCGAGCCAAAGGTGGCGCCTCCTATGGGGGCATGATCTGCGCCATGGGTGTGCCGAATTGCGCATGGGGGGCCGCATGCGACGCCCCAGCTGTTGCCACGGGTGGCGCTGTGGGACACGATCCGCGCGAGGGGTGTGCCGAATTGGGCGCGGGCCCGCACGCGAACCCGGTGCCGAATTTCCACGGGCCCGAATGCGGTCGCGCCCACTGGTGCCACAGGCGGGGCTCCCTGTGGGGCCCGATCCGCGCGATGGGGTTCGCCGAAAGACGCGCGCACGACGCACGCAGTCGCGCCCACCGAGGCCGTGGGTGGAGCTTCCTGTGGACCCACGATCCGTGGTGGGTGTGCCGACTTGGGCAGTGGTCACGCTTGCGGGCGCCTGTGCGGCCACGATCCGCTGGAGGAATGTGCCGAGTTGGGTGGCAGTGGCACACGCGGACGCACCCAGTGAGGCCTCAGGCGGAGCTCCATCCATGCGCGTGAGGAGTGTGCGAATTGGGCGGAATCGGCGAATGCGGCCGCGCCCACTGAGGCCTTAGGTGGAGCTCCCTGTGGGGCCACGGTGCGCGTGAGTGGGTATGCCGAACAGGGCTGTGTTAGTGCATGCGGCCACGCCCACTGAGGCCCCAGGTGGAGCTCCCTGTAGAGCTCAATCCGCGTGACTGGTGTGCCGAATCGAGTGGCAGCAGCGCGTGCGGTCGCACCCACCGAGGCCGTAGCAGGGTGTGGACGAGGGGCGAGAGAATGAGGAGTGAGGAGTTAGGGTGGAGGGCCGCTTGCATCATCGCCTTCTCAGCCACACGCGGGGAGTGACAACACACCAAAAGGAGAAGAAGATCACATGATGTAGCACCGCATGCACACTCAGAATGCAGAGAAGCAGCAGTGCGCCACAATCAATTAACACAGCTCGCAACAATATGATTGTAGTATTCTCCCCTTCCTCATACCCCTGCCAACAACATACTCATGTTCGAGCCGACAGTCTGTTTTGCATCCATCCTTCCCAGCCGCACCGCGAGAGCCTCTTCATCTGCTTCCAGTTCTTCTTACGGATCTTCTTCTCATCGGGCTGGCACAGGTGGCAAAACTTACAAGCTGCACCTGTCTTGCAACCGCCCTCCTTGTTCAAGAAAGCGCATGGCTTGCAGCCGATATTGTGCAGCAGGGATCCTCCACTCGGCGCGGCCAATGTGACCCTGCGCCCTCAGCTCGTGCCGACCTTCCTTCTGGACTGCGACGTCGGGCCACCCAGGATGCCACCAACTGCTGCCACCACTCGTGACGCAAACTCTGCCAGCCTGCCCCCACCCACGCCCCCCAGCGTTCAGGAGAAGATGAAGAGGACTCAATATATTGCGATGCGGAATCACAACACCCCCCTCCCCCAAATGTTCCCCATGCGTGCCGTCACTGAACTGTGCCTAGTGAGTCCGAGGTCGTCAGGGCTGCATGCCAAGCTGTGCCGATAGTCGGGAGGCACACGTAACCACATCTCAAAAGGAATTACAGGCGAGAGCAGTGGTGGCAAAGCAGAGAACGGACGCTACCAATTCTCTCGAAATAAGCACTGTGCATGCATTACCGGGCCGAAGAAACACACGAGAAGGAAGGGACAAGACGAGCAGCGGATGAAGAGTGAAGCGCGGAGCGCAGGGAGCAATCAGGCACGTAAGTTCATTGCGTGTCTAACGACTTGCTTGCATGCCCATCGAAGAGGCACGGCGGCACTGAAGTCGTGAAACGGCCACCACGCAGGGTACGTCGAGCTGTCACACGCAGCGGAGAAGGAACTGCGCACAAGCGGCGATGGTGAGCACCATATTTGGTCGGTCCACCCCTCCTGTCCTTGGGGCTGGGACCAACCAGTGCGAGCGCTGTGGTCTGAAGCTGTGTTTACTGCCGCTACCGCGGTGCTACCACCACCTCCTGCACATGCCCCGCCTCCTCCCTCCCACTCACAACTACAGGCAGCGCGTAGTTACACACATTTGAAAAGCACTCTCCTCCCCCTTCTGCGTCTTCTCCTCATTCTCGACCCCAGCCCTGCTCCACGACTCTCCACGAGGCGCATACTCTTCCTCCTCCTCCTCCTCCTCCTCCTCCTCCTCCTCCTCCTCCTCCTCCTCCTCCTCCTCTTCCTCTTCCTCCGCCTCCTCCAGGGGGCGTCCGGCGAGAGAGCTGGCAGCGGGTTCCTCGTCCCACCCCATCCCCTCGCATTGTTAGCCGTGACCAGCTTCCCTGCAGGAGCATCTCTTCTGCTGGCCTGGCGCCTCGTCCTCAGAGCCCCTCGTCGCCGCGTGGAGCCTCCGAACCCTCCGCTGCCCCCCTTGCCCGGGCAAGACGTCGAAGTCATGACGAACTACGACTGCCCAGCACGTCGCCATCATGCCGTTGTCGGCCAGGAAGCACCACGCGAAGGACAGCGAGGCAACGTTGCAAACATCCAGCACGGCGTGCCGTAGATAGGGTGGTGTCGTGTGCTTCCTGGTCGTTTGCCCGCTGGGGCCCAGGCCTTGGCGCCTCGTCCAAGAAGCCCCTGGTCAAGTGAAGCCTATGGAGCCTCCGCTGCTCACCTTGCCCCTCGGGGCCCGAGCCTCTTCTGCTGCGCCCCTTGCCGCCCAGGCGCCCCGCGGGCCCGCGGGAGCCGCGCGCGGGCCCGGGCCCCAAGCGCCGCCGGGCGGGACGGCGCGGGGCCTGGGCACGTCGGTGCCGCCTGGTGCCGATCGGACCGGCGGCGGGCGGCATCCGCAGGCTGGCGGGCCGCTCCGCCGCGGCGCCCGCCCGCCAACTGCCCTGCCGAGGGCCGCGGAGGCAGCGCGGGGCCTGGGCACGCCGCTGTCGCCTGGTGCCGCTCGGGCTGGCGGCGGCGGGCGGCATCCGCAGGCTGGCGGGCGGCTCCACCGCGCCGCCCGCCGCCTGCCCTGCCGGGGGCCGCGGGAGCGGAGGCGT